TATTTATAAGAAAAAATGAATGCATATCAATCTGACGGTACTGTTTACTAATAATAATAATAATAATAATATTATATAAAATCACTTATAGTAACAAATGATATTTTAACTATACCATTGTGATACGGGAAAACAAGGTTGCTTCTTCATCCACCGACTGCCTTCCACACGTTCTTCATATTTTACCACCTCACTCCTCCGGCCCCACCTTCCAGTTCACCCAACGCAATTTCAGGAAAGAAATATTCTTTCCATCGGACCCCCGCGTTCCAACACGTTACCTCAGAACTCCCACGTGTCCGAATCACAGCGGCTACCGACACCGGACCAAATACCGGCGCACGGTACTAAACTGCGCTATCATCTCTCCTTCTCCTCTCCTTGTACATACATACGCTCTAATCACGCCCCTCCTCTTCACTTCCCTGTTTCCAGCTCCAAACTCAGTCAACAAATTTTCTCTCAATTTCTCCGCGGAAATTCAAAAATCCCAGTAAGTTCTCTCTGCGAATTTAGATTTTTCTTCCTCAACCCGTCATTCTGTTATCTTTTGTAGCCTAAAGAACCGATTCAGATCACAACCGAACTCCGATTTATCTTTGGTTGTGAAATAAATCCTCTTTTCTGTTCTGGATCTCATTTTTTTTTATTGATTTTTGAGATTCAAGATCTTAACTTTGTGGTTTCTGGTGTATCTTGTGTTAAAGCACTGTTCTTGATCTTTGTTTCATGGTTAGAAACTTAAAACTGGTGTGGGTAATGTGAAGTTGGGTGTTGGGATTTAGGGTTTTTGGTTCTGGGTTTGGAGTTTGTTTGATTTGGTGGATTGGGATAGAGGAACTGGGGTTTATGTAGGGATCTAGACATTGTTGGGTAGGATTGTGATGAGACGCCGCCCTGTGGCGAACGTGCCTTTAGATTTAATGGAGAAAGGTGCCCCCAAGAATCAACAGACTAGGCTCTGTTGTTTAGCTGCATTATCTGCATTTTTCTGGACCTTGTTATTGTATTTTCATTTCGTGATTCTAGGGGGTAGTACTGGTGAAGAGTCAGTGACGTTAGGTAATAACATTGTATCCACCCCTGCCCATATGACCGCCCCTTTCCATGAATCCACTCCTCGTCCATCTTCTCCCTCCCAGGAATCCTTCCCTGCTCGTCCATCCACACCTTTGCATGAATCTACCCCTGCCCGCAAAAAAGACACTCCCAGGAAGATTGTGAGTGACAGCAACAAACCGGTTACTTTCCCATTTATGAGAGCATTGAGGACTGTTGAGAATAAGAGTGATCCATGTGGGGGAAGATACATCTATGTGCATGATCTTCCTTCACGGTTTAATGAGGATATGCTCAAGGAGTGTAAGAGCTTAAGTCTTTGGACCAATATGTGTAAGTTCACTAGTAATTCAGGGCTTGGTCCTCCACTTGAGAATGTTGAGGGTGTGTTCTCAAATACTGGCTGGTATGCTACAAATCAGTTTGCAGTGGATGTGATATTCAACAATCGAATGAAGCAGTATGAGTGCTTGACTAATGATTCTTCAATTGCTGCTGCAATTTTTGTGCCATTTTATGCTGGTTTTGATATTGCTCGGTATCTTTGGGGGTATGATATCTCCAAAAGGGATGCTGCTTCTCTTGATTTGGTTGATTGGCTGATGAAGAGACCTGAGTGGGGTATAATGGGAGGGCAGGATCATTTTCTGGTCGCTGGTAGGATTACCTGGGATTTCAGGAGATTAACTGATGGAGAAACGGATTGGGGTAACAAGCTTCTATTTTTACCTGCTGCAAGGAATATGTCAATGCTTGTGGTTGAGTCGAGCCCTTGGAATGCAAATGATTATGGTATTCCTTATCCAACCTACTTCCATCCTGCAAAGGATGCTGATGTGTTCACTTGGCAAGATCGGATGGGAAAATTGGAGAGGAAGTGGCTGTTCTCTTTTGCTGGTGCACCACGTCCTGACAATCCTAAATCAATTAGAGGACAGATCATTGATCAGTGTAAGAAGTCTAAGGTGGGCAAGTTGCTGGAATGCGATTTTGGGGAGAGCAAGTGTCATTCTCCGAGCAGTATCATGCAGATGTTTCAGAGCTCCCTCTTTTGCCTACAGCCTCAAGGAGATTCATACACCCGGCGTTCTGCTTTTGACTCAATGTTGGCAGGTTGTATTCCTGTGTTCTTCCATCCTGGTTCAGCATATACACAGTATACTTGGCACCTTCCCAAGAACTATAGCACATATTCGGTCTTTATCCCAGAAGATGATATCCGCAAAAGGAATGTTAGCATAGAGGAGAGGCTTAGGCAAATTTCTCCTGAGCAAGTGAAGATCATGAGGGAGAATGTTATAAATCTCATTCCAAGGCTTGTTTATGCAGACCCTCGGTCTAAGTTGGAGACTTTTAAAGATGCTTTTGATGTTTCTGTACAGGCGGTCATTGACAGAGTTACCAGGTTGAGAAAGAACATTGTTGAGGGTCGTACAGAATATGATAACTTTGTGGAGGAGAACAGTTGGAAGTATGCTTTGTTAGATGAAGGACAACGAGAAGTTGGAGCTCATGAATGGGATCCTTTCTTCTCAAAACCAAAAGATGAGCAGAGAGATGAATCTTCAGAAGCTGCAAAAAATTCTTGGAAGAACGAGCAGAGAGATCAATCATGATTGGAAGTCCATGAGGAAGCAGTAAAAGTTCATGGATCTCAATGCCCTTGGATGGATTCTTAGAACAAGAACACTTGTTTTGAGTTGGTAGCTTGCAGGTATAACTCCAAGGCCTTCTTGCGGATTCCTTACATAAATTGTCTTCTAGCTTATCCGGGCTTGAATCCTTATTTCAAACAAAGAAGATAAATTCTCTGTTTCAAATATAGTCTTTAAATGAAATTTTCACCTTTTGCATAATGTATTTGCTTATTGATTCTTTGTTACTTAATGTAGCTAAATTTTCCCAAATTTATCTGCTTCATATTTTTGTCGTAACGATACCAGAGTAATAATGACTGATAACAGATGTTTTTACTAGTTAGCATATTCATTGCTTTTGTTTTGCTATATGAGATATTATTTTGCGTATCATTGATATTTATATGTTTTAACTTTTTTGGGGGAGCAGGGATTGACCTTGTAAGGAGTTACATGTTCATGTTGAAATTGCAAATTCCAATTTCTCTATTTCTTCTTTTGAATTTTGAATGCATACAATTTGTAATGAGTTAAGCTCACTACATTTGCATAGAGTTTTGCTCTCTACACGTGGATAAGTGGTTTGCATGTGCTCTT